TATCACTGGCAAGTTACGTTCCTGACAATTGGTCATCCAACAGTGTGGACCAAAGAAATGTAGTTTCTTGTGGGATAAGGCTGCTTCAGCCTTCTCTGAGAAAGTAGCAAAAGCTTTCAGCATGAGAATGAAGTGCAGCTGAAAGCTCTAGCTGTGTTGGTAAGTTTAGGAAGAAAACACTGTTCATGTGAACTGCAAATCTTTCAAATGATGGAGTGTGCAGGCTCTGTCCTTGGTAGAAACTCACACTGTATGTGCAAAAACCTGTGAGTAGGGCCCTGCCTGCAGCTCTGGGGGCACCATGGTGGCATAGCCCCGTCCTGGAGCAAAAAGCAAGGGCACAAGCCTGTGTTAGGCACCCTCAGGTGCTGGAGACCCTGAAAACCAGCAAAGACACGTAATAAATCATCGTGGTTTTCACATGACCTCACCATTTGGGTCTCCGAGCTGGATTCTGAAAGTTGTGGCTGCCAGATATTGTAGGGAATTTGAGTCCTCCAAATTCAAACATGGCTGCTTTAGATAAGGAGATGAAGTCAGTAGCTTCACAGTGGCACAACTGCCATTTGCCAAAGTTGAAATCAACTCTATGGACCCATGCTACTGCTTAGTGATTTTTTCTTTTCTTTTTTTTTTTCTACATAGCTAAATGGTGGTGAAAGGTGATTGACTGCAGAACTGGGAGGGGGAGAAAGTATATTGCTTTCAGTATCCCTTGTAAGTAACGATAGTAAAAAGTGACTCCTTATAGTTTTAAATTCATGCAACACTTTTGGTGTTGATCCTACTTCCTTAAAAGTTTTGAGACTTTCTTCCACCCTCCCTTACCTTAAGAGAAGATGGTAATATAATCCTCTGGCAGGAGGGTTGCAAGCTTGGCTTTTGATTTGTATGTTTGACAGCCTTGCTTTTTTTTCCTATACAAATGCTTATCATAGCTAAGTGTTGGTGTGTTATCTTCTGGTATTAGTTCCATCTCCTGAAGTCAACTTTTTTTTTAATTAGAAGTACTGACTGATAATTCTGGTATAAAGTCACACTTTTTGCATGTTTTTGATTACCCTTTTAGTAGCTGGATTTGTCATTAGCCATAGCTATTGTGGCCATGCTGGCCACTTTGATATACATGTAAATTACATTAATTGATAGAATAATGTAGTATGTGGTCAGTTAATTTATTTATGGATTTGATGTATCAAGTCACTGAGGTACTTCTCTATATGTATTTTTGCCAGGGCTATTTAGACTCAAAATCAACTTTTTGAACTAGCAAGTAGAAGATATGGGGAGCAGTTAGCAGTGTGTCCTGAAGCTGGTTGATGGATGCTTTCTGGAGGTCAGGAATGCTCCCTTTTTATTAACAGCAAAAGAGCTTAGAGTGATACAGAAATTTAAGTGAATGCTGGAGTCTTATTTTTCAGTTCTGCTTTACAGAGTTGTGGTGCACTATGATAGCTCTACATCACTTACTCAGAGCTGCCAAAAAAGCCACAGGTCTACCTAAAACACAGTTAACCTGCTTCATACTTTAGCCATTTCCTCATCTAGAGATGACTAGGTCTGGCTGCAGCATCCCTGTACTAATAATATTCCTAACTTTGTGGTTAAGTGTTCCAGTAACTAATTGCTACAGATCAGTTTCCTTTTCAGATAATTCACATTAAAATTATGCAGAATTCTGAGAGTGAGTTTGAGAGAGGTTTTTTTGGGGGGTGGGGGATGGGGTTTGCAAGTGCCAAAACGTGGGCTCAGGGTCTTTTTTTGTGGAGAACCAACCCAATGTCAGCCTGGTAATCGTCCAGACTTGTTTACTATGGCACACCATTTGATTATTGCTCTGTTGTAATTTGGTACCAGAGCACTGCCCTGGGCTTTTCATGCCTAGCAGAATGACGGAATTGCCGTGAATAGGGGTAGCAGGATATAGCTTGCAGCCATAAGTGTATTTTATCTTCAAATAGCAGCACAAAAAAATCTACAAGTATTGATTTCTATTTGGAACAATTATTTACCTTCAGATTGATTTCCCCCCCCCCCCCCCCCCCCCC